AAAAGAAAAACGAATGTTCATTTCTCATCACATTTTAAAGAGGGTGTTATCCTTGATAACATTCTAGAAAAAAAAAATGTTTACTTCAGTCTGTCGGTGATTTTAGTTGTGCATGCCTTTGTTGTATATAAGCTTAGTGACTCCCATGTCAAAAATCTTATCTCTACCTTTTTATATTTATTTTCTACTGTGTAAATGTATTCTTTTGTAGAATCATGGTTCTGTCATTTTATCTAATGTGAGGACTTACCGATTCAGTGAATTCTAACCCTCCTTTGGGAGATCATATAGGATGTGAAATTCAGAAACGTTGCTGAAATCAAGACATAATGATAAAGGCAGACTGAACAGTTATAACAGACAGTGCCACAGTTAGCTCAGAGAGTGCCTTTGAGCAATCAAGAAAAGGTACTCGCACTGGGCGGACACAGCTTTATGAGCTTATGGTTTGGGAAGCAGTGGGGGGGTCACATATTAACCCTTATCATCCTCTTGGGTACATCCTTAGGCAGAGGATGACTTGTGTGACCACATTTGATCAGATTACAGAATCTGCATTAAGACGTTTCGTTTAATGCCATGGTCATAGAAGGTTACAACTGTAATCTAAACCATGGCAGGAAGATTGTGAAGGTGGAAAATATATACACTGCCACTTCTCAAATACCCAGAGCCTTGACAATGGGGGGATCAGAGTAGGATTACTTTTCAAGAGTGTATATATGACAAACAAATCAGTCCTTCAAAAGACAACTGCATGGTACGCAAGTGTTACAACTGCTACTTTCTGGCCCAGTTACATTTGTATGTATTTTTAAGCACATGCCAAGTCTTGAAGAGTGTACAGTGACGGGGGGGGGGGCAGCTACTGGGAATAGTGAACTATCCTGTGATATTGTGTGTATATATACATACGTATGTATATATATCCAACTCTGATTGTTCCTAGTTACAGAGGGTCTATCCTGCTTCTCATCTACACCTGCTTGAGAGATGCCTCAAGCACAGTACGTTCTTATAGGGAACACTTCAAATCCCTTTAGTTAGGTCTTTCACTAAGGCTCCCTTGCATATATTTCAAGAAAATGTTGCATCCCAGACTAACCATAGTAGGAATATCCATTTCTCTGTGTGTGCTCATTTGTCTTTGCAAAATTTCTTCTCGGAATTATTTAATTATTTTATATTTATATGTTACAATCGACAAAAATGTTAAAAATCAATGAAATAAATTTGCAGTTAAGACCTTTAAGCTTGGTTTGTGTTCTCCCCTCTCCCCACCCTCTCCACTCCCTGGCAGCATGGCAAAGAAGTGGTAGGAAAAAGCTTCTGAAGATCTGGACTGTGAAGTTAGAAAAGGACTTGTCCTGCTTCATGAGGGCAGTTTCCAAGGGTTATTGTGTATCATATCTTACTCTCTCAAAAGCTTCTCTTTAGCACGTGTTGCCATGGAGCTGTAGGAAATGTACAAATCTCGGTTCAGATCCCATCCAAAAGTCTTCTTCCTCAGCCTCAAACAAGGGCATTTCAAGAAAGCGGAAAGAAGATTTATGAGGCTTTGAGTCTCTAGTTAGCTTGTGGAAGCCACGAATGGGGAGAGGAGCGCTGGCTGCATCTAGACAAGAACAGTCTGTGCAAGCTCCCTTTCCAGGCTCCTCAGGTCCTCCAAGGAAACCAAGTTCCAAATTGATTGGGGAGGTGATGAGACACTCGATTGGAGGATGGGGGCGAGAGTGGATGAGACCTCAGGAGTCAATCTCGGAAACAACGTACATACCAGGGTGCACCCAAAAGGCACGATGGCAAAGGGCCTTCAGTTCCTACCATCCTTGGTCTTTGTATTATGCTTCATGTGTGGTCCTTAAACTAAATTCTCTTGGGTTTTCATTTGTTCGTAAATTCAGAGAAATAACACGACAAGACAGAGACAAATGTTTCTGAGAAGCATCTTCCTCCAGTTTTAAAATCGGTCCTGAAAGCTGAGTCTGCTGTGAGGGAGACAGAAGAGCGACTATTGCTCAGGGAATGTCAAAACAGTGCCCAGCGTTTGAAGTGGTTCCTCCGTTTACTGGAGAAATTTCCCCCAGAAAACACTGCAACCACTGGTTCTACATAGGGACTTTGCTGACTTCAGTAAGCAGCACTGTAATTGTTCTCAACAGAAATGGTACAACTGGTCCACTTGGTGACTTGGGTTGTCTCTACCAAGGTCACCTTGGAGGCAGGTGTCTTGTGAAGGGTATTTCAAAGGAGAGTTCAACTTACTGAATGACACACACCCCAAGCAGGCTTGTTTGGTGTGATATTTTTTGTCCCCAGAACAGCAATGAAAGACTATTCAGTTCGTTTCTATCTCAGCTCCTCCTTGGAGTCTGAGGGACAGAAAACAGGAAAAGCTGAATAAGTACAATAAAAACATAATATTGGGACTGGAAAGGTGGCTCAGAGGTTAAGAGCACTTGTTGCTCTGACAGAGGACCTGAGTTTGGTTCCCAGGGCCCACATGGCAGCTCACACCCATCTGTAACTCCACTCCCAGGAGACCTGACCTCTTCTGACTTTTATAGGCACTAGACACAAACAGTACACATACGTACACGTAGGGAAAACACTCATACATAGCAAATAAAATGAATATTTTTGAAAGGAACATAAAATTGAGTCAAGAATTCTTAGCAGTATATTCATTTTGCTTTCATATCAATTTCCAGATACAACCTCAAGAAATCAAAGCAAGCCGGGTGGTGGTTGCACACACCTTTAATCACAGCATTAGGGAGGCAGAGACAGGTGGATCTCTGTGACTTCGAGGCCAGCCTGGTCTACAAGAACTAGTTCCAGGACAGGTTCCAAAGCTACAGAGAAACCTTGTCTCGAAAAAAAAAAAAACAAAAACAAAAACAAACAAAAAAAAAAAAAAAAAAAAAAAAAAGAAGAAGAAGAGGAGGAGGAAGAAGAAGAAATTAGAAGATGGGAAACAAAGCCTAATTTAGTATATTACTGTGGAGCTCAGCTTATGGTTTGTGCTCCTCNCCAAAGCTACAGAGAAACCTTGTCTCGAAAAAAAAAAAAAAAACAAAAACAAAAACAAATAAAGGAAATCAAAGCAGATAAAATTAAATGCATTCTTATGAAACAAATAGCATTTAAAATATTTTATTGATTGAGAATTTCATATAGTATATTTTATCATGCTTATCTATATACAACTGTATAGTCTTAAATTCAGGACCCTCCTGACTTAGTATCCAGAGAGCTGGGATTAAAAGTGCATATCACTGCTCCTGGTTTTAAAATACATGATTTTAAAATGTATAATATATATGTTCTTCACTGTGAAGAAACCCTATAGTCCCTGGTGTGTCTACTCCTTAACTCTCCATTTTATATAGCTGCAATAAGCCCGAGCAGAGACAAATTTAACAGTCTTTACACTATAGTAATATAAAAGTACAATAATTCCAGGTCAACTAAACTAACTTAATTTGGTTAATTGGTTAGCTTCAGCAAGTTGATTAAGAATGGACCCTCTCTGGTCAGAAATGGGGTGCTTTAGAGTCAAAAGAGATGAAATCTCCACTTTGGATGCTGACCTCTAAAAGAGATTCTTAAGCAACTCCAATGGGAGCAAAAACCTTCTTAAAAAATAAGCAATGAAGCCAGCTTTTAGAGACAAAAGAATGTATGAAATCTCCAGTAAAGTTACCCGTGAAGATCACTAAAGGGATTCAATTGTGATAATGTAATGTTTAAATCTTATCTACCCCAGAGACCACAGCAAATCCTGCATGGAAGTACAGGAGTATGAATGTACTGCTTCAGAATTCAAGACCCAGCTTTAAAACAAAGAGGAGTTGAGAAAGGGGAACGGAGGGTAGGAGGTATCAGGCGGACTGCTCACCATACAACAAATACATGTGCCAAGGCTTGAAAACAACGTTTAAAAGTCTCCGAGCTAGATGTGGTGGTGCATGCTTATTATCCCAGCAATTTGGATGCTGAGAAGAGGAATGTTGCTATAAGTTTGTGGCCAGTCTTGCATATATACTGCAGTGGAGTCCAGCCTGGACTACATGACGAGACTACCAAAGGCTGTCCCAGAAAAAAAAAGTATATATGAGCTGATGAAGGGTTAACTTTTAATTAAGGACTCATCGTAAGGGGACTCAAATAAGCAGGACTAATTTTTATTCAGTCAATATTGAGTCCTGAACACATGTTCAATCAACACTGATCCAGGCATGGTGGGAGATACCAGGCTATCCATAATCCAGTTAGAAAAATAAGCCTCGGTTGAAAACGTAAAAAATGTAAGATAATACATTATTTCCAAATGCTGATGAAAATAGTTTAAGTCCTAGTCAATGAGCCAAGCACGAGCCAAATGCTCTTGACCTCATCGCTCTACCAGGTAGGAAGGCTATCCCAACAGATAAAAACGCTACATTTCAAACAACCAGAACTGGAAGAAAGTGCAGTTTGAACTGACTCTTTTGTCTTATCTTTACTAAAGAAATTGCTGTAGGAATCCAGAAAATGGGGAAAGCTAATAGGAACAAGGGTCTGACGTAGTCCTTAAGGCAAAGATAGGTTTCAGGCCACGGGTTGAGTCAAGGCAGAGAACAGCAAAGTGCTTGTAGAAGGAATTACATTAGAATAGCTGTCCAGTCAAATTCAAAAGTGGGCCAGATTTTGTTGAACAAGGGACGCTAGGTAAAGAATGTAGCCTGCGGTTAATTAGTGACCTTGACAACTAATGACAGCCAAGTTTCAAATTGTGCTGCTGTAAAAGAGCTGAGCGACTCTTCCCAGAGGCCAAGGGTGCCAGGAGTGTATATGGGGGACACTGTTCAGGCCTCCCCCCCCCTTTTTTTTTCTTTCTTTCTGTGCTCCACTTCTGGATTCAGTTCTCAGGTGAGGCTTGGGCCAGGGCGGGTCTACAAGGGTGGGTCATCGGAAGGATGCCAAGGTCTCGGATGGGTTTGGCGGCCCGCTCAGACGTTGCCACTGCTGTTCTCTGCCTGGGTACCGGTTCTCCGTGTCTCCCGCTCTCCCGCTGGCTGCCCCGTTTTCCTCCCCCATCAGCGGCGACAGGCAGGATTCCTCGCTCCGGAGAAGGCGGGCCGGGGGCGGGGCTACGAGCAGAGGGTGCCACCTCCTAACGCGTGCCCTTCGGGCGGGACAGCACGGGTTCCACTTCGTGGCGCAAGTCACTCTGAGGGGTAGCCGTGACACCCAGGTGGCCACGACCGAGGGGCGCTGTTCCTTTACTCTCAGATGCGGTTGAAGGCCGGTTGAGGTAGGAGAAAGCTCCATGACAAAACGAACTCCTATTCAGAGCCCGGCTCTCCGCGGCTCCCGCGTACCTTCCTCTTTAAACTCACCCCCCCCCTTAGGCGGATACTTGGAGAGTTCCACTCCACGCGGGGGGCGGAGCCCAGTACGGCTCGGGTGGGCTTCCCGGCAACCCGGAGCCACCTCGTGAAGCCCCCAAAACAAAAGGGTATGTATGGCAAAGGCCTTTCTCCCGCCGAGTTCTCAGTCACGGGTTTGTCCTGCACGGCTGGGCCGGAACTAGAAACCGTCGGGGAAGCTGCGAGCTTGGTAGAGGTGGGGCCCCCGATAGCGCCACCCCCGGTCTCCTCCCCCGCACCGCCCAGTGGTGCGAAACTCTGGTTGGCTTGCCTTGCAAGTCAGACTTTGGTTCTATCATTTTGAAAAGTCCTGACCTCCTCCCGCCAGGCCCCATTCGGAGAACTCACAGAAGTCGTGTTTGGGCATCAGGCCGGCTTGGAGGCTGCAGCTTTAGCGGACACCACCGGGTAGATTCGGCGCCGCGGCCAGTGAGCGTGGGCGAGATGCGGAGCAGGAGCAATTCTGGGGTCCGCCTGGACGGGTACGCGAGGCTGGTGCAGCAAACCATCTTATGTTACCAGGTAAACAGACATCAGCCCAAGAGAACGCCCTAAACTGCCTGCTGATGTGAGTCAATACTCCCCCAGGCCTCTTCGCACTACTGTGACCTGAGAGCTTGCAGTTAGTTGAGAGGTTTTCTACTTTAATCCAGACCTTGTTAGCCAGTTATCAGCCTCCTTCCCATTGCTATCCTGTTCTCTTTACTCTCAAGTCAGGTCTTCTGGTCTTTGAACAGCTGCTGAGGCTGTTTGACAGAGTTCTTGGACCCTTTTTTTTTTCCTTTTTCTTCTTCTTTTATTTTAAATCAGAACGGCCCCCTCGATGTCCTTCCTGACTACTTCTTTTGGATGGAAAAGGTATGTTAGGTTGAACACTGAGTAAGAACAGTGAACTCTACTCTAGGGACAGTAGACAGGAATAAAAAAAAAACCCTAAGGCTTGCATCTGTTTGAATGTGAGCAGCTGCCACTGTCTCTCCCGTGAGTTACCTTGTTAGACAGCTACCTATGAGAGGGCCCTATGAGCCTCTCTGGTTGCTACTTTACAACTTAGAAAACTTGGGAGCACATGGCAACAGCATCAAGGCCGTGCAGCTGTAAAGCTGGGCATATGATCTCAGGTATGAATGTGCCTGCTATGCTTTGTCCTTGGCGAAAAGTTATGTGTGAGTCCCCAGTGGAAGCCCACTGAGCTATTTTTGTTTCCAGTGAAGACATCAGCTCTATTGCTTGCCTTCAATCAACAGCGGCTATTTTTAGGGCTTTCAGAGTCAAAGAAGGAAGTAGCAGTTGGTGGTTTGAGGCTTGACCTACCAGTTGGAGACCCATGGTCATTTCCAAACCATTAACCATTTTTTTTTCCTTCTTAGCGCAACCTTAGCTCCTCGCTCAGGAAATATGTATTGTGTTGCGTTTATATATATATATCCAATCTTCAAGACCGTCTACAAAGTGCCCCGTCTACATAAAATGAATGAACAGTGCTGCTGCTGCTGCTGCTCCTGTGGCTCAGTGCTATAGCAGCTTACCCAGCATTCTCAGCGCCTTCGATTGCATTGCCACCACTACAAAAGAAAAACAGTGTTTATAGCACAGTGAAATTTATGAATAAGGTATAAGATCAGGGTCCCTTGTTTGAAACACTTTGAAGCCAAATGTGGCTTTGCAAGCCAGAAATGTCTGAATGTTAACAAGTCATATGCATACATAAATATAATAGCCACAGTACTTCAGACGGTATCCTTTAGTTCCGTCCATTGTTATTTCGGCACCAGAATATGAATATTCATACTAAGTACAATAAGTAAAGGCTACAAAAGACTTTCACTTTAGACCAGCTTATCTTTTGCCACCCAAAGAACTTTGGCAAACTTAGGAGAAGCACTTGGGTTTCCAAAGCTTATTGGCTTTGGGAATTACACATAAAAGACTGTAGTGTTTCTTTGGAGACCTTTGGAAAAAGACACGCCCACCCCCACCCCTACCCCCAGCCAAGCCATATTTGGCTAGCAAGATATGGCATTCTAGTTGGGTATTGAAGAAGGAGTAAACAGATGAATGGAGGTTGCTTTTTCTAAAAACCACCTAGCAAGCTGGGACTGGAGAGATAGCTCAGTGGTTAAGAGCACTGACTGCTCCTCCAGAGGACTAGGGTTCAATTCCAAGGATTGGAATTGTCACAACTGTCTGTAATTCCAGTTCCAGGGGTTCTGACACCCGTGGGAAAACACTAATGCACATAAAAACAACAACAACCAAAAGGAGGTCTCTTTTTGCTTTTACTCTCAGAATAACATTAACATTAATTAATTAATTAACATTCTCAGAGTTACAGCTATAAAATGTTTTAAAATCCCAGTTGAAAGCCTTTCCCTCCATTGCTATGATAGAAAGAGCTATAAGGAAAACAGACAAAACTTAGCTTTTTTAGCTGGGTAGTAGTGGCGCACACCTTTAATCCCAGCGTTTGGGAGGCAGAGGCTGGTGGATCTCTGTGAGTTTGAGGCCAGCCTGAGCTACAGAGAGAGTTCCAGGATAGCCACGGCTACACAGGGAAACCCTATCTTAAAAAAAAAAAAAAAAAAAGAAAGAAAGAAACCCTTGGTCTTCATGTCAGACCAGGGTTTGAATACCCAATTCTGCCTTGAGCAACATGTGTAACCTTTGATCATACTTTCTCCTTTTTTGTTTTTTTTTAAATATTTATTTATTATGTATACAATATTCATCTCTCCAGCCCTCCTTTTTTTTTTTTTTTTTGGACAGTGTCTCACTATGTAGTCCTGCCTGGCCAAGAACTCACCTTGTAGACTAGGCTGGCCTCAGACTGACAGAGTGCTGGGATTAAAGTTGTACTCTCCCATGTCCAGCTCTTTGTTTATCTTCCCTGAGCTAACACCCTCATCTGTAGAATGGGGATGGGATTATTAGAAAGAAAAATGAATGTCTAGTGTACTTCCTGGGACATTGTGTGAGATCAGTAAGTAGAGGGTGCTTTTGATATAGGCCACATGTTGTTACTCAGTCCTTGCATGACCATTCTGGCCCAGGATGCTCCCTTTCCTAGAAGCCTTGATATAGCTACTAATTAATTGTTTTCTGGTCTTTGGGCATATTTATGTGTTGTATTGGTGCAGTCAGATCCTAAGTACAGAACTTTGGTGTCTCCTTCCTATTCCTCAGCAATGTCTCAGGCACATTAACAGTATCCTTTAATCCTTTTAATTAAAAAAAAAAACTACTCCCTGTGGATTCTCTGCTACCCTAATGCCACAGCTACTGGTCCAGGCTTGCCTTTGCTCAGAAGCAAAACAACTGTCTTCTCACTGGAGCTGCAGGGTTGGACTTTCCTCCACAACATTTTAATGATTAAAAACCAGTTGTCTAATCTTTTATTTTATATTTATTTTGGGGGTAGTCAGTGAAAGGCCCTCATGATTTCTCTCTTTTCCTTTGGATAAGCAGAATACTCCAGACAGTTGAGCTGGGACAGTCTGTGAATCTGCAAGTAGACAATTGCATGCCTCCTCGTCCAGCACTCCCCTGTACCCATCCTGCCACAACCACTATTCAGTGTAGAGGCCTAACTGTTTTAGGGCCTTGTCATCTTTTCTGAGTGATAATAGGTAGGTCGCCTGTGTTCTGTAATTTTTATCGTAATAAAAAAATGAGCTAGGTTTCTGTAGTTTCTGCTATACTGTGCCATCTTCTATAGGTATGTGCATATCTCTGACACATTTTTCAAGTCAGTTCCTATGAGCTCTAAACTCTGTTTTTATTTAGTTTTTGAAGTGAGATCAGTTAATATTAGTTTCACTGGTTAGAAATATTTCATAACTATGTCAAGCTGATCATTATTCTTCCTTTCAAATCAATAGTTTATGCACATCGTCTAGCATGTCCACTATATCTGTCAAGAAGAAGAACTTCCATCTGTCATTTGAAAGATATAGACTACTTGGCTACTATATATTATTTGAATCTTTAAGGCAAAAAGGAAAGACCTGTGTCTATAAAAGGGTCATTTAGCAAGTTTCGTTTTATGAATGTACATTCTGAGGAGTCTCTTCAGAAATATATTGACTTTTAGAAAGAAATTTCTAGATTTATTTTAGCCCATATAAAATGTTTATTTTTAATATTTTTTCAGTAATGACTCTGTTTGAAGGCTCATTAATATGTGCGAAGTTTGAAGTAGTGATAAGAGATTATGAACCAGAAAATAATAATCAAATCAATGTTCACTATAGTTAGAAGTTATTGGGTATCATGACTCAGAAAAGAGACTATGGCAGGAACTACATTGCGATTAATGAAAATAGAATTTAAAATGAAAAAAAATAACACAAGTAGATCATGGTATATGGAATAAATAACAGTAGTAAAGACTAATTGTAGAAGAGTTAAAAATAATATAATTAAGTCTAGAAACAGTATGACAGAAGACTGAGAAAAGACTGGGGTTAAAGTGTTCTAAGTCCTTTATTACCTTAGAAGTGAGAGTAAAAGAATTGTAATGTCTTTTAAGTCAAGAGATTAAGAATCACCATTAACGTAATATAAATGGAGAGGCAAAAGCATAGCTCAGTTGGTAAAGTGCTTTGTACAATCGTGAGGGCTCCAGTTCAGTCACTAGCACCCATTTAAAAGCCAGATGTAGCAATACATACTTATAATCCCAGCACTGGGAAGGTATAAACTAGCCAGCTAGCCTAGCCTGGTCAGAGAGCTTCAGGTCTGTCTTAGGGTTTTTATTGCTTTGAAGATATACCACAACAGTGACAACTCTTATAAAGAAAACTTTTAATTACATTAGCTGGCTTACAGTTTCAGAGGTTCAGTTCATTATCACCATGGTGGGAAGCATGGCAGCATGCAGGTAGAGCTGTTTGCTGGAGATGAGAGTCCTACATTTTGCAGGCAACAGGAAGTAGACTGTTACATGGAGGGAAGCTTGAGCAAAAGAGACCTCAAAGCCTGTTCCCACAGTGACATATTTCTTCCAACAAGGCCACACCTCCTAATAATGCCATTCCCTTTGGGGACCATTTTCTTCCAAACTCACATTCTATTCCCTGGCCCCCAAAGGTTTATAGCCATTTCATAGTACAAAAAAATATATTAAGTTCTACTTTAAAAGTTTCCATAGACTATAAAAATCTCAAACTTGTTTCAAAGTCTCTTCTAAGATGCATGACAATCTCTTAACTGTAATCCCCTCATAAAAAATTAAAATCAAAAAAGCAGATCACATACTTCCAACATATAATGGCAGAGGACATATATTACCATTCCAAAATGCACTGAAGGGAGCATAGTGAAGAAACACTGGACAAAAGTAAGATCAAAAACCCAAAACTCCAAAGTTTAAACTCCAAACACTGAAGCTCCATTTCTAACATCAAAATGCTCGTCAGATTTCCAACTGTGTTCAGCTTGGTTGATGGCAACATAGTTCTTTCTCTTGGGCTGGTGTCACTCTGTTAGTAGCTCTTTGAGGCAGGTATCCTACTACTCTGGCA